GGTGGGTCTTTCCTAGGGTTCTACCTATGGGTCTTGGGTGAGTTGAAGGTTGAGGTATAGGTTGTTATGGTTTGGGTGCTAGGGGGGGTGCCATGGTTGAAAATGGAAATGGTCTATGCTAACTCTAAGCACTACGCCCTAAACCCCGAGCCCTAAATCATAATCACTAAGCCCTAAACCCAAAGCCTTAAACCCTAAACACTAAACGCTAAACCCAAAGCTTTAAACCCTAAACACTAAACCCTAAAACCCAAAGCCTCAAACCCTAAACACTAAACCCTAAAGCCCAAAGCCTTAAACCCTAAACACTAAACCCTAAAACCCAAAACCCAAAACCCTCAGAAGCCCCAAACGTCTCTACCACCTCAGGAGATCATCCTGAAGCTCAGTGTGTTCTACCACTACTTCTTCCTGGACTCGGTTTAGGGTTGAGGGCTTTCGGTTTGGGGTTTAGGGTGGAGGGCTTTGGGGTTCAGGGTTGAGGGCTTTCGGTTTGGGGTTTAGGGTTGAGGGCTTAAGGTTTAGGGTCTAGGGTCGAGGGCTCAGGGTTTAGGGCGCAGGGCTCAGGGTTTAGGGTTGAGGGCTTTGGGTTTACGCAATTCGGTACGATGTATGAGGACGCAGCGATTGTAGCCGGCTTTGCAAAGATGTGGCCAGGTTTCCAAGAGTTTCTGGATAGTGGTTTCTTTGGCTGTTTTGGTTTTGCTTTGTTTTGGTTTCTCCGGTTCTTGTTGGTTCTTGTTGTTTTGATTCTCTTGGATCTGTTTTGTGTAGTTTCAAGTGTTTTTTGAAATAGTTCGAAAGGGTTGGGATGACCGACTCATTGCTTCACTTCAGTTTTACAAAGAAGGGAAAAGAGCTCAGCAAAGCGTGAGATCTTCGCTGGAGCGATTTGCGGTTGTAGACCAAGGATCAACCGTTTGGCACATCCAGAATATCCTGTCACTTTGTCCCGCCTGTATGGTGAACAAGCTCTGAGCGAGGCGGAGATGTCTGCGATGTCACGCCGATGTTGCGGTAGGCCACAACAACAGCTCATGCAAGCCTGAGTCAGCCTGAGGCTTCGCACTTTCTCCGCGTACTTCAACCGAAAATGATGCTTTGGATGCGGTGCCAACTTTTAAGCTCATGATGTTACACGCAATACAAATTAGTTGCATATGCGTAAGCTTTTGGTTGAAAGCTTCTCGCGTGTGTAACGCTTGTCCAGTCCTTTTCTGCCGGGGAAAGCAAGAGGTCGCTCGACTTCGACGGGCACTCACCTTTGACAAGGCGTGCGGCCAAGTCAGTGGGCCCAAGCTACAAGGTCCAGGGAATAGGGCGATGCCTTCAGACCGAGTTGTGGGTGATGTGAGTGTGGGTGATTTACCGGTGCGCCAGCTACATTCGTCGTCAACCGAATTGGAGCAATTCGCAGATTGCCTGGTGTATCCCATCCATGTAACCAGCACAATGTTTGACAACCTGGACAAGATCTGCTGCGCAGGTAAACATGCCCAATTTCCTGTGCCTTTCTGCTTGAGGAAAGAGCGTACTGTTTTGCATACCATGCAGATCGTCTTCCAGTCAGCTCAGCCGCCTCCGGATGGAAACGTTGACGGCGCGTGCTTTCACATCTTCAAGCACATTTACCTCCACCGCACCAAGATCCCTGCCAAGATGGGATTGAGTTACATGATGGACGTGTCCTGGGCTCTTTTGGGCCCTTCCTGGGCTGATGGAGCACTCCAGTGAATGTCACGGTAGGCCACGCTCTAACAACTGGAACCATATCATGGAATGGAGTGATGGGCCGATCCATTCAACTACCGAGAATACCGAGAGCCGCGGCCTGAAGCCAAAGTTAAGGAGGCTTGTCATAAGTACATGAAGGGACGCCAAGACGCGAAGGAACTCGGTTATCGTCCTTTCGCCTTCCCAACCCTTGTGCCGTCGTTGTTTGACAGCCTTCTGGTGAAGATGACATCCACAATGGGACAAGACGCCATCACTTGGATTGTTCGCGCTCGAGCCGGCAAGTCATTGGGCTCCGCCAGTCAAAGTACGAAACTGACACAGCCGAGCGCACTCCAACAAGCATCAACTCCCTCCGTCTTTCCATGAAGACTGCATTTGGTCCCAAGAAGGTCTTCGACGGCTTCTTCACGGTTTGGCAATGCTGCGTCCGAATCCGAGCAAGTACTTTTGCGACAAAAATTTGTAAGGTCTACGGTCTACAAATGAAGTTCATGCACATTTTCTTTGCGAACTTGATGTTCAACGGCGCGTGGAACAAGAGAAGGTGTCGCAACCGTTTCGCGCTCTGAAGGCAGCCGGGCCAGTCCACGTCGAGTTGGATTCTCCATCGCCTCCTTCGTCAAACCGGCCCATACCACATCGAGCAACGTCCCAATTCCTGATTTCTCAGACGGGCTACCCTACAACAACCTTTAAGACTATACGGTACCGAAAACAAATGCTCATACTCGTATGTTGTCGGACATATTTATCCGCTTTTTGTTATATATGTATGTTCAAATCAAACCTTTCGCACAATCATAAGGTTGTGTGGCCGGCGCACCTTGCAATGACGCAGAGATTCCGGAGGATGAAGGCATGCCCAAGATTGGGGAGGTCCAAGACAACTTGGAAGCAGACTTGAAGAGACTGATTGATGAGGCATGGGCACAAACTAACCACAAATGCGCTCAACAACAACGAAGAGCCATAAATTTCGCATACAGTAGACACGGTGACAAGCGGAGGAAGTCGACATGGGGTACTAGTTGGCTTAACTAGGCGTCGTCGGCCTTGCGAATAGTGGCATTCGCTCCGTGCAAGCGCCGAAGAAAGTTCGTCTCACACCGACCAAGGAGCTCCGAAAATCCGTGGAAATTACTTTCAGGTGCGTCGAAAAGAATACACAATTTGGACCCGGAAGGGCTGTTGTTTTGTTATACCATTGCATTTGAACGGGAGTAAACTATGCTTCCGTACTTGCAGCTGTAGAACTCATTTCAACACGAAGCGATGCAGCATGGTCGCTTCTGCAAGCTGGATCGCACTCCGGAGCGCTATCCTCTCTGCGGACTTTGCGGAGTTTCTTTCACCAGTGACACACAATGTCGTTCGTGATCCTACTCTTGTGCCAAACTCGTCGGCCGCACGCACGTACTCTTCTTTGCACTTTAAGCGCTCCGATATATGGCTGGTGAGAGGGTTTCCCACACTTGTTCTTCACCCAGGGCAAACGCTACTGTTGGCGTGGCAGTCGGTCTGATATTTCGGGATGTCCTACTTGCCTTGACAAAATTTCAGTCAACTGCCACTGTTTTTTCATCATGTCAAGCAGTCCATGTAGATGTCCCATCGGGAGCGCTTTGTTCTGTGGACCTTGGAGTAATCTCGTCAACAGACTGTTTGCGAACCCCATCCAGTACGACATAAGAGCTCATTGATGCCTGGGTTGCTTCCTTCCAACGAACTCCGAGCAGCTGGTTTCAATTGCAGATGGGTACGGGCGTTGATACTGTTTTATCCCAGGAGCTCCTACGAAATCTTTCTGCTCACAGAGTCCATATCAAGTAGCCGGCTGCAGCATCCCACATCGTGAAGACAACCTCGCCCTCGCTCGGTACATGCCAAGAGACCATCTTGGGCGTTGAAGAGGCCTCCTTCCTGATCGGCATCCCAGCACGTAACCCAACAAGATGATGCACACGTGAAGCACGGTGGTAAAGCACGTATTTTCATAGCAAACGAGACGCACGTGAACAAACTCAAAACAAAGTGCTTTTCACGCTATGGACGTCTTGAAGGTGATCAAATATGGTTATGGGGGCAGTGCTCCATGGACACCTCAGGACACATTTCATCTTTCGAATCTTGAAGAACGCCGCGGATGCACATGATTGAAAGCCACGACGGCACAGTCAGCCGAAAACAACGAAGGTTCAATGTTGAGAGTGAAGAGTGGAGATAGTCTTGCCTGTGACAAATGGAAGGCTACTTTATCAGCTGTCACGGCTCATCGTGAACTCCATGGACTATGTGAAAAAACTCGTCGTCACGAGGTAATCAATCAGTCCGAGGGCGAGATTGCCAATCAGAACAAATTCAGCACAAACGCCGAAGAATGCAGATGGTCTTTATCAAGAGGTGGATTTGGACAAGGCTATCAGGCACTCTTCCCCGACATGTCGATCGTGAAAAGTGGCACCATGGCGTCTACTTACCGATGAATATCAAGCACGTTCGCTTCGGAAGGGCCGCTCATGCTCGCTCGGGGCAACGTGTCGGTAGTTTGCTTCCAAGGAACACCTAAACTTTTCCATGCAACGTAAAATCTTGCGAGCTGCGCTGGCGAGGTTTCCGCCTAACGTAAACAGCCAACCGCATGTCGCACTAGAAGGGAAGCTGCAATGCTTGCAAGTGCTGGGTCGATTGGCAAGGGCACTGCAGAATGGTTCGAGTATGCAGGGGTTTCCGCAGCCGGAAAAGCTTCAAAACGCTAGATGCATGAACAAGTTCAAAAAGCTGGGTACATGTTCCAGTTTAGAACCTAATAGTGACATTCATAGCAATAATGATGACGATGGTATTGGGTCGTCGTAGTAGTAGTAGTAGTAGTAGTAGCAGTAGTAGTAGTAGCAGTAACAGCAGTAATAGTAAGAATAATATCAATTAACAAAAAATAATGCCAATGATATTAAGAAGCAGGGTTTTCATAATAATGATAGCAATACAGAAAACTAGTGATAGTAATAGTTAGCAATAGTTGTAATAAGTGCAGCAGTAATACTCATAATAACAATTGTAATATAGTAGTAGTAGTAGTAGTA